TCTAACAAAAACCATCCTTGAATATGACCAAATTCATCCACTTTACAGTAGCAAAATACAAACAAATATTTTATAATCAGTGAATAATGTTTCCTAATAATGACTATTTTGAATACCCATGTAGTAATTGGAAAATATGTACTATTTTCAAGGGACCAATGTTTCAATTATATTCACATATGATAGGCATTAGTAAAAGGTGATATGAATAATCCTAAAGGTTTCATGACCTTCTCTTCAATCATACATGATATTTAGAACTGCTGCTTCTTATCTTTTCTTTTTGTGCATTGCTGTAGTATTTTGGTATTAGGTCTATATTCGCCAGCTTTATAGTTATGAAGTGTATACAATTCAAATTATATAAATGAAACTGTGCCTAACTCTTAGGGGAAATATCCCACTTTTAGTGCTCTCACTAAAGCTGTCAATGCACTTTTTTAATATAGTGCAGATCAGCTGAAGAAATGAGAGTGGCTTGATGTGATTTGATAGACACGTAACTTGCAATACAAATAAATCCCCTTCACAATACAACACTCTGGTCAGCATCCCAAAGCATTTCAAGGAAAGAATTATAAAGCAGAAGATGCCAATCAACTAAAATGCTGCGAGGGACCACAACAACATACCAAACCTACATTTCAGCAGAGTTTCTGCTTTATCTACTTATGTCACTTAGGAGCACTCAAGTGCCTTTATGAGACACACGCCTTTTAATAGCTGTATATGTGTCTGGAGATGTAGTTCAGTGCTTCCTATTATTTCTAAGCTTTACTATCCATGGTATTCCTTTACACAACAAAACCCTCTGATGCTATTTCAGCTTTTGTCTATCAATGCATACTGGGCTCACTGAAAAAGTTCATACATAAGACTGAAACAATCTTGTTGATGTATTCTAGACATAGCAATTGATTCTTGGAGTCTACCCACTGGATAATAGGTCACATTCTTCACTGACTACCACAGACACACATTGCTTAATTGTGGATCTAAAAAGACGTTACTTCATGTTTGGCAGACACATTAATGACCACGTGTCCTTCTTGCTAGGAATTTCTAAGCACAAATTTCTTCCTGAATCATATTGACTGATAGATTAACATCTAAAACCAAACAATTCAACAAAAGTAATTCTTTTGTATTTCATATTTGACCTCATAAATGATGTAATTTGAGGAAAATAAATTATTGTCATCAATATACAATCTGTCTCTCCTGGAAAAATCTGGAAATGGTTATTCATTTAAGGACTATTGCTAATATCAGTCAGCAAATATTTAATTATATAATATATGTAAGACTCTGAACTGGGTACTTATCAAAGTGCAGTATTTGACTCTTTTCTCTATTCTTTTCAGCACACTTGCCTCCTCAGTGGTTTTGTCTCCCAAAGAATCTATTCATATAACTATCAAATCAAATTCTATTCAGAATTTTACCAGATAATATCGCAATGACAAAAACTCAATATATCAAAGAAGCTGTATTATTCCCTAGTCATAAAGGTACCCCATTTAGAGGGGAAAATTTAGAGGATTTTGGGCAATCTTTTAGGGCACTTAAAAAGTATATAGGTAACATAATTAAGTGTAATACGTAGAAACCTTGAGTTTGGATGATAAACATTGTCAATAAATGACATGCAAAAATGTGGGAAAAGGTTGATGTTAGGTATGTCCAATGGTAGTAATTGGGATGAAATGTTATTTCAATATTGAGAATCTTACTAAGCAGAAGCTAATATTGTCTTTGTTAACAAAAATATGCACTACTGACAAAGAAGAAAATGGCTAATCAAATTCATTTCAATGTTAAAAATTATAGTAACAGTAATGCGGCTAGTATCCTTCATTCTGTTTTCCTACAACTTGGAAAACAGTCACAGGAATTTTCCATTTTAGAAATTGAAGGTTTGAAAACTAGGCCTACTATTTTCATATAGAAAATGATGTTTGACATTGTTGCTGAACTGTGGTCTACCAGCCTCTGCTGTCTTAGTCTTTGATTAGCTTACTGGTATATAGATGACAGATCAGAAGCACATTCATTTCCCCACAGTCCCTGAAACAAAATAACCAAACACTAATCAATACTGCATTAACACCAACTTCAACTTCTAAAGTTATTTTGTTTTTAATTGTGTATATGTGTATGTGTGTAGTCACATGATTGTATGACAGGGCCAACAGATACCCTGGGATTAGAGTTATAGATGATTGGGAACCACTTGCTCTGAGTGCTTAGAAGGGAACATAGATCTTGGACAAGAACAGTAAGTTCTTCTAACTGCTGAGCCATTTCTCCAGTCATTAATTCCAACATCATTGGAATAACCAAATTAAAGGCTTGAAACTGTTATTTGATTTTCTTCTTTGATAGCTAGTTAGTTACTAAGTACTGTTGATTCTTCCTTAATTCTTCCTCCTTCATTCATCTGTACCTTTCTATTCCGATTGCCAATATTATACATCATTACTTGTTTCTTGGGGCATTTTTAGACCTACCTTATTGTGGATTCCAGGCCACCCATCATTCAACCAATCTGGTTTCTAATAATGCACACAGACGGTATGTCATAATGATATATTACTTAATTGTTTCTGTGATGAAACACCATCATTAAGAGCAACTTATTGGAAGAATGAGTTTATTTAGCTTATGGTTCCATAAGGATAAAACTCCTTGATGGTAGGGAGGGGCAATAGTAGAAAACTGAGAGCACACATACTCAGCCACAATCATGAAGCCTAGAGAGTGGACAGGAAGCGGGGAGAGACGATCAACACAAAGTCTTCCTCCAGCAATGTACTTCTTTCTGCAAAGCTACACTTCAAAACCCTCCCTAAGCAGCATTACTAATGGGTAGCCATGTGTTAAATGCAGAATTTTCCTAGGATGTTTTTCCTGTTTGATTTGGTCTTGCACCCTTGTCAAATGGATGACGCCATCTACATTCTGGGTGAGTTGTCAATTCATCAAAGTGCCCTTTGTCTAGAATCAACAAGAAATGAAAACCTTTGCAAGGTATGCATGAGCTTTCAGTCATGTTTCATTACTAATGACACACACATGTATTAATATTTTATTCTGTCTTGACTCTATATTTCAGTTCTTCACCTATAAATTCAGAGTATGAATCTGATTTCATTCACTTTTTTAACATTGAATTTAGCAGAAATAGTATAGTTAACAAGTATGTTTTACTAAGTATAGTATAGCAATAACAGTAGTTAACACTGGGAGTTTTTCTGCTTAACTTATTTAATTCCCAAAAACATCCTAGGAAAAGTCTGCTGTCATTGCACTGCGACTATGTAAGTGTGATGGTTTGAATGAGAAATGCCCCCTTTGGCTCAGGCATACAATACTGTGTCCCAATTTGGTAACGTTATCTAGAATTTTGGACCTATTGTATATTTCCAGCTATAGTTTTCATGTCCCTGTGTTGCCATTTTCTAGATATATCTAAGCTTCTTAAAATAGGTAGTGTGCTTTGTACTTGTCATGAGATTGCTGAAGAAACTTGAGAACAGTTTGTGCACTTTAAACAAAATAATCCATAGTGATGAGAGCTATTTGAGTACGGTAGCAGGGCAATATTATCCCCATCCATTTATATTTCTACCTGGAAAAATTATGACAACAGAGTTCTCAGAAGTTAAAAGTTCCCATTGAGGGAAGCAGATGTCCATGGTTAATAGGCAAGTTGATCTCAAAGGAGAGCCAGACAAATGTGTTGCTTCACTACTGGAGCTGAAATACTTTACCCAGTAATTCATGTATAACTTTTAAAGGCATACTACTTACCTTTCTCATAAATGTGACAAAGTATCTGACAGAACTAATTTAAAGTAGGCAAGTTTTAGTTTGGTTTACATTTTCAGATTATAGTCCATCATGGAAAGGTAAAGCATGGCAGGGCAGATCTGTTCAGGGTGGTGGGTGTATGCATCAAAGACTGTTCACAGTATGGTAGAACAGGAAGTAGTGTGTGACAGTTGTACCCTTCCAAATCCTGCACCCTCTGACTCACTTCCCCACACTGAGCCATGCTTCTAAAGGTTCTACAAGTTTTTAAAATGGTGCCAATAGCTAGAGGACAAGTACTCAAAACTTAAGCACACGGGGCACAACAGGAAGGTACTTTGTGATTTAAATCCGTTGCTCCTGGAAGACTGAGATAGAATAATCAAGAGTTCAAGGCCAGCCTTGGATACCAAGAGAAGACATGTTTAAAATAAAAAGTCTTTTGTTCATGGTTTCAGCGAAATTTCATGCTGCTTGCAGATATCTCAGTGCCTAGGCTGTGCTCAGCATTTGTATTTAAGAGACTAAAATACACATGCAAAATTAAGTAGAATTAACATGTTTAATAATTTCCTTTCATTGTGTGTGTGTGCATAAAATGCTCCTGTGTGTCTAGTCTCCAAATGAAATTCAAACCTCAAATTATTAGTATTAGAGTTATACCAAGGGGTATTTGGAATGTTCCTCCATGCTCTTACATAAAAAGTAATTAAAACCCAAGTTGAACTGTTTTGAAGACACATGTGACATACAGGTGAAAATCTTTAGGACATATTTAAATATTCACTATATTTAACACTATGCAACACTCACTGTCTAAGACTAGCTATTTACTCAACCCAATTTGATGCATATACATTTTCCTACTTCATCTTAGGAACAAATATTGACTACTTGTATGTTACATGTGACATTTGTAATTAATATGGAGAAACTATTCACACTCAGATGTATTTTCTTTAGGCTACAACCTTGATGATATTTATTGTTTATCAAATCTATTCCTGGCTTTTAAAACTTTACCTAAATCTCCCTTGGAAAGCTGAAAACAAACAAAGTCAGTATATTTTAAATCTCAGAGAGAATAAACTGTGTGTATGAACTTACAACAATATTCATGAAATTATCACAAAGAGATGAAAGAACGTTTTAAATAGACAACCTCATAGAGGTTCCTTATTTTCTAGATGAGCTCAGTGAAAATGTTACGGCCTCGTCTCACAAGCATCCTCTTCAAACTCACCTTTGAAGAACATGTAAACAACATCAAACCAAGCATCATAGCAGTAACTCTTGCATGTGAAGAACTGAAGAAAAGTGAAAGCTTTAATAAACTTTTAGAATTGGTTCTTTTGGTTGGAAACTACATGAACTCAGGCTCAAGGAATGCCCAGTCTTTGGGCTTCAAGATCAACTTCCTTTGTAAGGTAAGATATCATTTCTAACAGTAGGTTTTTGGTATGTGAGCTGAAATGATATATAAATGGAAATAATTTATCAATTCCAAATCATGTGCTATAGGATTGAAATTGATTATATAACTCCTGACTATACCTTGATTAAAATAAATATTTTATAATTTCATTGCAATAAAATTCAAAAGAATATGAAGTCTTTTTTACTCATGTCCTCTGATTATAACATCCTGGAGATTATAGACAATGCCAAATTTGTCTCTGTAAAATAGATTTAACCTCAAATTTCATTGTCTTTTTACTTATTTTATGTTTCTAGAAATATTTGAAGAACTTAACTTATGAGTAAAAGAGCCAGCAATTTTTCTTTGGATATGCTTTGATTATTGTGCTCTATGAAAACAAAACTCTTTGTTTCTGGGTAGCATTGAGCTAATATGCTGTCACTGATTTTTAGGATATCTACCTAAAACTTTAAAATGAACTAATAATATTATTGCTTTGACTTAACAATTGAATAGTATTTTTGAGACTTATGATAACGTCTCTTAATTTAGAATCCCCTAAATGATTGTATATGTCCAGATACGTCAATCCAACTTGTTTAAGTAAAAGATCTGTCTGTTATAGACCGACAGCTGAACAGATTCTGAGGTGAAGGCCTTTAAGGAAGCTTGAGATGAAAATGCATCTGGAGAGAAGTAGTCTTTCTTTGACATCTCCCCATGCTTCCATTGTTTATTGTCCTCTCAGATCAGAAAATAATGCAGAAGTTCAGCTCCTTCTAGACACACCTTCTAACAAGAATCTCAAATGAGTAAGAGCTTCCTTATTATTCATACATTGACCTATACAAGGTATAAATACACAAACTTACATTTGAATATATATGAAAAATGATTTGAGTGTGGTGATTGTAACACACATAAGTACAAAGGATAGCACATGTAGATGACATATGTAATGGAATTTGGACCATCCCTTTACTATAGATATTTCTTTAATAGTTATAAGAAGTATAACACTAACAAAATAGACTAGATAATTTGAAAGTACTAGATTTTCTTCAAGATTAATTTTATTCTCTCTTCTTGTGGTAGTGGGAAACACATTAGTTCATTAGGTAACACCAAGAAGAATAAGGCAATACTTGCAATAAATTAGAATCATTACATCTGTATTTTCAGGGTAAAACTATTATGGTTCTGTTCATTCAATTATATTTCATATGACATACCTTAATAAGATAAGCTTGAGTGTGTTTTCTATGCATAGTTTATGAATCTATACTGTTGGCTTTTGATTATGAAGATGCATATTAAATAAAGTGTAAATTGATATTGTATGTACTTATGTCATGTATATATTACATTTAATTTACATTTGCATATGTTAAGGTAACTTCAAATTTTAACAAATACATCACTTTTAAACTGCCTTCATTTCACCTTATTCAAATTTATTACATGAAGTGATTAACTTGAAGCAAGAATGAAAAACTCATTTATATATAACAGCAAAAATTATATTAATCCCACAGAAAGATTTTATTCTTAGGTCTCCTATTTTGGAGAGAGATTTCTTCCTGTCATCTACCTGTCAAATAAAAGTTTTTCCATATAGCACTGATCTGACATCTATCACTAGAGGTATGCTCAGAGGATTTAGCACAAAGATTCTTGCCAACTTCAAATAAAATAAAAAACTGTCTTGGGGGAAATACTATCGTGTAGTAATAGGTGTTCTAAAGGAAAAAGAAGTAAAGGTTTTACAATATTACCCCCTACACACACAATTTTCGGTTGGATTTTTATCTTCTGGGAAATACTTTGGGGGAAATACATGTCATTAATAAAGAAAAATAGTATATACATGGTTGATATTACCACAATGTATAGGAATAAGAAGATATTCCTAGAGTACAAAGGATCATGCATAGATGTAAATGTCTAAAATGACAGAAATTTACTGAAGTGCATAGAATTAATTAGCTGAGATCTGTAATCTTTCAAAAATGGAACTTACTACATACTGATACTTGATTAGCTAGAATTGCTGTTAAATTTCACTTATAAAAGACTACTTGGATTATTTTTTCTTTAATAAATTACAGAGGGAATTCTTCATGAAAAAACTGATTATGCTTCAAAAATGATTCCATTTCTCACCTAAATTTTTCTGATGATAAATTCCTTTCTTTGATTTTAAAATTAACATCTACTGCTTTTCAAAAACATATAAAACACATTAAAATATTCATCCCTTGTAAAAGGAAGATTGATGTATGTAATTAAACTTATCATACGTGCTTCACTGCATAATATACAATATTTAGATGGTCAAAATCGGCTGCCTTGATTTTTGTAAAGTGAAGGAAAACAAATGAGTTAGCTAAAATTGCAAGTAACTCTGAAGGTTATAATGACAGGAAAATGTTTTTTTAAATTTCATTAGCGAATAATCCTTTGTGAGTAAGCAAACCAATGTGCTCTAGTGTAGTAAAACCCATGTAAATGAAGATGAACTTAAGTGTAAACTTAGACTATATACTTCTGTGTTAGTCATTGAAATTCTAAGTAATTTCAGTACTGCACTTAAGGAACATTTCTTATTTTCTTTTTAGCATGTAATAGCATATATATGTGCAAACAAAACATTCAAAAATCAAGCATTTCCTATGCATTCATATGTTTGGAAAATGCATGTAGCATGAGCAGAGTGAAAACCCTATGGCATTTCATTAGGAATGTGTTGTCTTCGAGCATTTTTCAGCTCTTTGCTTTGTATTTGAGTACAAATTTTATTAGAAGCTGATTGACTTAGTGTGTCTTATAGAGCCACTCCTTGTCCAAGTATTCACAGCTAAGACTCTTTGAACTTCAGTTCATTAATCTGTAAGTGAAGAAATGCACTAATCCTTGTATAATGGTGGTCTTAGGTCCAATTAAATAACTATGTTAGAGTATATTGAGAAATTATAATATTAAGCATATCATAGTTGATCATATAAATGACTAATCATTCTGATGCTAAAGACATTATATTTGGCATCACCCCAAATATCAAAGTATTTCATTCACCATCATAGAAGTTGTAAGAAGGGAAGTAAAATGAATTTAATTTAATTGTGAAATGGGAGATTACTTACAATTAAATATGATCCCTAAATACTATATTTGCTGTGTATGACAGCAAAATTTGTAAATATTTCAGGAAAACAATCTAAGGGAAAGCATAGTCCACCTCAGTAACATATAAATTCTTCAAAATTTTCACAATGTTTAATTATTTTTATTCAAAATGCTGTGAATTGTATCATAAATGTTTGAAGTTAATCATAAAATGAAGGCTAATATCCTTCTTTTGTTTATTCTAAAACACAAAACAAAATAAAAAAAAACAAAAACCGAATGGTCAGAGAGGTGAATACTTGGGCCAGTGTATTAGACAATTCAGGTACCATGAGAATATAGCAGAGACTCAGGATTTTTAATTTCCCATAATTCAAAGACCAAGATGATATTTGGTGTCTCTTGAGTTCTTCTTCGTTTAACTGCAGATGACCACTTTCTCATGATATCCTCACATGGGGACTTCATCATATTTTGTTTTTCTGTCTCAGCTCTGAAGCCATTGAATTTGGATTGATACATGTTCTATATCGTATCATCAATGTCTGTTGCATATAAAACTCTCAGGTGTGAGTGAATGCCAAGTAGTTGAGTTAAATATAGGTTTATTGTTAATTTTAATCGTAAGAATTTAACTTCCTTTTTAATGATTTTGTTCATCACAATTATGAGTGTATTCTTATTATGAAAATTATTGCCAGCAGTTTAGTGATGGCTTATGAGTGAGCATTCAATGATAGTGTATTCAAATATATATTTTAGCCAACCACAGAATCTTTAGGATTGTTTCTGACACTTTTACCTTTCTGAAATGTGAATTTTTTTTAAAAAGTCAATGCTTATCATTACTTGAATTGGAAGGATGTTTGACAGTTTGCTGAGAAATAAATGATACAGGTTTATAACTGGCTTTCTAAACAAACACTATGAGAAAGAAGATTAGATAGAATAGGAACAAATGTTAGATAGCCCTTCTACAGTCTGTCTCCTCATGAGTTCTTTGAACTTTCCTGCCTTTGGCCTTCATTGCAGCAATGTGTTTTCATGTTTTTGGTTTGTAATTAGTGATACAAGATTTGGTGCTACAGCAAATGTAAGGGAATTCATTCATGGCACGTCATGTTTAAAATGTCAGTATATAATGACACACCATGCAATGTATTCATAATTCATGACCACTGAACACAAACACTTCAGTTGAGAGTTTGTCTGTATTTTGTTATATTACACTGAAGCAAGACCGTTAACTAAAAAGACATTTGAAATAACTAAGCTCTACAGGATGCAAAGACAGGTTATCCGTGACAGTTTTAAATAGTTGCATTTGTTCAACTTTTGAAATATTTGACTTTTAATTACACCAATTGGGCTTTATTATTTTTATTTACTGGACTCTCAACTTTGAGAAGCAGTAAATTCTATTGAGCATGAAAAGAATGTTGTACTACTATCTTACTATGCTCTTGGTGATATTCTAGATTCAGTTATTAAAACTGTCATGAATTTTGTTCCCTACAGTTTTTCATGTAAATCAACATAGCAAAATTTGAAATTACAAAATAGGAGACACTAAAATCTCTTAAGTCAATAAATCTAGAAGCTTTGAAATCATTAGAAAGTTATATAAAGTTAACTTTCTTCAGTAAAAGCACTCTTACTAAAGGTGTTTAGTTCCCATTATATTACTAAGTATATATCTGAAATGCGGTCTTGTGCACATTGGCTAGTCGTATTGATATTGTTTTAGTCATATAATTTCTTGGATGATCAAGGTATTTGATTACCAGCTCATAAATCTTATCAGAAGCTCTCACCTCTAATGCTATTCATACCATTTAAAATCAGAATGAAAATACATTTCAATTCTGAGTTTAAGAGTTG